TATCAACTAGGATAGTACTAGTAATGTTGGTGCAACTATCCTCATCTATAAATGAGACTACATACTTTTTAATTTTATAAGGAAACAAGTGTGGAAGATATTCTATCTCTGGCTACTTTCTTCTGGCTTGACTTACACATTTAGAACTCTCCTGATAACTAAAGTTTCCCCCTAAGCTAGATATTTAACATTTTCCTTAACATTCTCAAGTTGTAGCATACTATCATTATCTTTGCTCTCACAATAACTAACACTATCAATTCTGCCATCATCTCTCAATAACATGATCTTCTTATTTAAACATTGAGAGGTGATATGTCCAGTTTTGAGACATATGAAGTATTTAATTGTACTATGCTTTTGAGATAAGTTAAGTGTCATATCATTCGTATCAGGTGGTGTAAACTTTTCCTTCTTCTTGTCTGCTCCCTTGTTTTTTTTTTTACTTGAGCCATTTCGAGCTGTAGGTAAGGGTGGCATATGATGTGCCCCTCCATTTGTACTTGAGTTGTCTCTTGATTTTTATGGCTATGTACACCATGTTTTCTAGTTCCAAGTAGTGTTGTAACTCTATAATGTTGACATCTCCTTATTAAGATATCCCAAGAATCTTGTCATGCTTACTTCTAGATCTTCTTCGATATTGATCCTAATCATGGTCATCTCCATCTCTTTATGATAGTCCTCAATGGACATAGTTCCCTTTCTTAAATGTTGTAATTTCTAGTGCATTTTTTTATAGTAACAAGAAGGTACGAAATTTTTGTGCATGATGACCATCTCTCTAGGTAGAGACCAGTCATTCCTGTTTGCATCATCTAATGAGGATTAGTTTATCTCACCATGCTATGGCATAATCAGTGAATTCTACAGCTATCAATTTAATCTTCTTTTCTTCGTCGTAGTTGTGGCATTCGAAGACTAGCTTTACTTTTCTTTACCACTCTAAATAAGCTTCCGCATCATTTCTACCTTTAAAAGGTGATATTTTTATTTTGATGGAGCTGATATTATTGTTCTTCTTATCTTCTCTCCTTTTAACTTGATTTTTTTCTTCATAACCGTTACAAGACTCGACCTCATCATTGGGGATTCGAGTTATAGGACGTCTAGTGTCAAGAATCTTGTTTCTCGCTTCACTTCGTCTACTCCTCATACCTTCCACTACTTGACTCCTCATGTTTTCCACTACTTGACTAAGTCGTGTTAGTTCAGCTTGCATTGTCTCCATGAATGGTCTCATATTGACAAGACTTTGATTTTCACTAGGCATTTTTAAGTTTTGTCCAGCAAGAAAAAGGTTAGTGTAAAGAAATAATTACTCTCTTACCAAGTCTCTCATGTTTCACTCACTTGGCTTTTGCTCTCTAATTAGCTCGCCTACTATTGCCTTTTACCACTTAGTCTTTTGCCCTCAAGTTGAGTGTTAGACAGACCATCTTGAATCAAAGTATTTTCAAGTATTGTTCAAGATATGTAAGGAGTCCTATGGAATAAATACCCACATAAATATTGGAAGCAAGAGTTTTAACATATAGATGAAGAGAGAGTGTGTTATGTTACGATGCTAAGCACGAAGATGCGAATTAGATACTTAGATATATTATGTAACTAAAGCTTAAAGCAATAAAAGAAACTAAGAGTACAAGAAAAGACAGTTACAGAAGATTAGGGATTCGATATCGTCCCTAGGAGAAATCCAAAAGATGTTCCTACCAATTTATACCCATTGTATGATGCATTCTATAATAAATATGGGGCAATTATAGAAAATGCAGGAATTCGGTATTACCTCTAGAGAAAATTCAAAAGATATTCCTACCAATTTATACCCATTGTACACTGCGTTCTATAATAAATGTGGAGCCTTGGGGCTTGATGATATGTGTAAATATGGATGCACGTTGATTGTAAAAGAAGGATTTTTTTTTTTCCTTTGAAGAGTTTGGTTCTTAGATCTTAGTAAGAAGAATAGTTGAGCACCAAAAGGTAAATACTTTTCCAATTA